AGACACCATCGTGGTTGGGCTCATCTGACTTCTTGCTCTCCTACTGGAAGCCTTCTCCTTCTTATTCTTGCCTAAATACTGTGGCAGGGACTCCCTGGACCTGCATGGAAGTGGCAAAGGCAAGAATCCTTGCCTTGTGGCTGACTTTGGAGAAATGCTTTCTTGGTTACCACAGAGTGACGTTAGCTATGAGATTTCACTGTGGCTTTTAGGATGTGGACATCACTTCCTTCCATGACTAGTTCACTGACACGAGAAGGTGTTGAATTTTGTCAAACTCCTTCCCTGCATCAATTAAGACAAACATGAAGTTTATAAAAAAAATTTTTATTTTAAAATCAGAGTTACAGAGAGAGAAGGAGACAGAAAGAAAGATCTTCCATCCACTGGTTCACTCCCCAGATAGTCTCCCACGTGGGTGCAGGGGTCCAAGTACCTCGGCCGTCTTCTGCTGCTTTCCCAGGTACATCACCAGGGAGCTGAATCAGAGGTGGAGCAACCGGGACATGAACAGGTATACATGTGGGATGTCAGCATAGCACGTGGCTACACCACAATGGGTTCCCCCCCTTTTTGTTAATGGGCTACAACATGACTATTGATCTGTGTATCCAGTATTCAAATACATAAATATAATTGTTAGATCTTCTTGCTATGTGGGCGGTTTCATGAATATGCTCACATAATAACCTTCTTTGCTGTGGGTAACCTTTTTTGATTTGAACTCCATTTAGTCGGATGTTAGTGTATGTATCATCTCTCTCCTGTTACTATTTGCATGGAGTATCTTCTTCCATCCTTTCACTTTCAACCTATTTTTTGTCTTTGGATCTAAAATAAGCCTTTAGGGGCCAGCACTGTGATACAGCAGGTAAAGCTGCCACTTGCAGTGCCAGCATCCCACATGGGCACCGGTTCAAGTCCCAGCTGCTCCGCTTCCAATCCAGCTCTCTGCTATGGCCTGGGAAAGCAGTAGAAGATGGCCCAAGTCCTTGGGCCCCTGCACCCACGTGGGAGACCTGGAAGAAGCTCCTGGCTCCTGATCTGTGCATCTCTGGCTGTTGTGGCCAACTGGGGAATGAACCAGCAGATGGAAGATGTCTCTCTCTCTCTCTGCCTCTCCTTCTCTGTGTAACTCTTTCAAATAAGTAAATCAATCTTTAAAAATAAATGAAATAAGCCTTTAAATACAGCTGGGTTATAATTTGTCTACAGATGCATTTTGCCAAGCTCTGTATTCCAGCTGGAAGCCTCAGCCCGTCGACACGAGGCAACCACTGCTGCGGAGGGACGCCCTCCTGCACCCGCTGCTGGCTCTCTGCGTGCCTCGGCGCCTCCTGCCCCTCTGTAGCCGTTTTCTCGGGGGTTCCCATGGGGCTGCACTGCATCAGGATGGAAGGTGGCCACGCCCTGGCCTGACCGGACACCAGCTTCACCTGGGCAGCCAGAGAGGTCTGCCGCAGGGTGGTGTTCTATACGCGAGTCCACACCCAGAGCGGGCTGCTGAGGTCCAGGAAACAGGGCAGCCCCCAGGGAGGCAGCCAAGGGGCGCCCTGGGCAGGGGTGTGTGCGGGAGCCCTACAGCACAGGGGCTGGCCCTGCAGGAGCAGCTGGGACTCGGAGGACAGGCAGGGCGAGGGGGCGTGTCCAGGGCTGAGAAGGGGTAGGAGAAGCAGGTGCAGGGCCAGGCCCTGGTCACGCAGGCCAGAAGGGTCACCTGGGAGAGGGCTCCTGGGGGGGGGGGGTGACACTGCTCCATGACAAAGGCCACTACACAGGCAAGGATGCAAGGAGGAGGATATGGAGTCAGGACCCCCAACAGGCAAACTCAAGGCTGAGATGATGGTGGGCAGCCCAGGGCAGAGAGGGATGGACCACAGACAGCAGCAATCAGCCCCCACAGCCGCGGGAGAGGCCTCTCTCTGCTGGGCCTCACTGGCTCCTCCCCTGGCCCTGGCCCGCCTCGGAGCCTCCTGGTGGGCACAGGAGTGTGCACCACCACCTGCTGTGGGGCTGCTGGTGTAACCCACGCGGGCACTTCCCGCCTTTGGTGCTGCCCTAATCCACGGCAGGTGGGAGGTCCTGAGATGCCAGGAGCACACACACCTGACACCTCACTTGTCTGGCTTTGCGTGTGCTCACAGCACGCATTAGTCTGCCTGTGGACAGGGCGACATGCACAGGTGAGCCCGGCCTCTGCCTACAGAGCCCCAGGAGGGAGCCCAGGAGGACACGGGCACCTGGCCGCCGGCACCACGGAGGCCGTCTCCCACAGCGTGGGGAGGAACACGCTGGAGTCCTTCCTAAGAGGAGGTCCAGGAGACACAGCCGGTCACCTTGCGGCCACAGGAGGAAGGGGACACATGGACTGGCATGCGGCATCCCACCTGCTCACTGTGACAGGGCTCCAGTCCCCGCCGACTCTGCCCTTGTTCCTGGCTTACAGCTCATCCACTCACTCCCAGAAATGTCCGCTTCGCCCAAATGGCCACAGGCAGCAGAGCCGCCTCTGGGTGTCCTGACAGACAGCCGCGGGCACTGGAGAAGGGCTTGGGGTGTTGGGCCTCAGTGACTACCTGGGGACAGCAGGAGGGGCGTGTGGCGAGGCTCGGTGACAGGGTGGCTGTGCAGTAACTGGCTTTCTGGTCTGCAGCAGACCCACTCACACTTCAGGACGCACCTGAAGCCAGACTTAATGTGTCTGGATGGTGAGCCTCCGACGTCTCAGCATGGGAAGCCCAGGAGGAGACACCACGTCGGTCGGGTCCCTCTTGTCCTCCGAGCTCAGGGGGTGGGGGTGGGGGCGGGGGCGGGGGGGGGGGATTCCCCGCCCGCCCTCCTGGCCTGAAATGGAGCAGCTGCTGCAGCCCAGACAGTGGGTTATAGAGCCAACACCCCATGGAAGCCGTGCCTGATTACCACCCTGGTGGTACTAATGAGTGTTTATCCCTCACACTTGCACCCTGTTCATTTTTAAAAAGCAAAATGAGCTGAGCTGATGTGCAGATGGGAAACCCTGGGGCAGGGCCAGGCCCCAGCTGCCTTCCTCCTGGCCTTGCATGGCGCCCACGTGAGCACTGCGGGCCGGGCCATAGTTAACCAGCTCTCAGGAAGCCCCAGGGCCCTTGTGAGGCAGGTACCACTCCCACAAGAACAGCTTCAAACAGGTAGGGGTGCAGGCACTCACAGCGGCACCATCGGCAGAAGCCGACTCAGCCCTGGGTCCCCTCTTAGCTCAGAGCCTCTGTGTCCACACCACTCCAGAGGCTCCTGCTGGCCACTCTGAGCCCGGGCTGCCCGCATGCAGCCACTGGGGCTGCTCACGGCAGGAACCTGGACACGCTGCCGCCCCGACAGCACCCCCGCCTCGTGACATTCTTCTTTTTTCCTCGTCTACCTTCCATTTTAAGACATTTTATTGAAATCCAAATATGCAAACCACAAAACGCACACAGGCGTACAGGTCAATGCGGTTTTTGCTCCCTGAGCACGCTGGTAACCAACACACAAATTAGGAACAAAACATCACCAGTGCCCGACGCGCCTCACCATTCCTCTCCCCCCACTTCCATTTTTTATAAACGTGGGAGAGCAGCAGATTGTCTCTCACCCGGTACGATTCAGAGCAGCGACATCCACAACCCTGCACCCAGGGCCGGGCCAGCCACACGATGCTTACGCGCCACAAACTACACACGTCTGCCTGGTTCCACTCTGCAGTCCGTCCACTTGGCTGCAGATGTCAGCGTTTCCGTCTTTTCTATGCCCGAGTAATGCTCCATTGTGGATATACACCCTGCTCCCTACCCAAGCAGCTGATGGACATCGAGGTGGATTCCATACCTTAGCTACTGTGAACTGAGCTGATAGAAATTATACTCAGGAGTCAGGAACCTTTTCATACGCTGACTTCATCTCCTTTGGCTCTGTGCCCAGGAGCGAGATAGCTGGGTCATAAGGTAGGTCTATCTGTAGTTTTCTGAGGAAGCCCCACACCGTTCTCCAAGTTGCACTCCCGCCAACAGTGTCCAGCATTCGCCATTTTTTTACTTTCGGGTAGCACTTGCTCTAACTGGGGCGTGATGACACCTACTGTGGTTGGTGTTTGCATTTCCCTGATGAGTAGTGACCTGAGCACGTTTTCCAAGTGTCTCTGGGCCACGTGTATTTCTTCCTTTGAAAAACGCCTGTTCAAGGCCTTTGCACATTTCTTACTCACCTCCGTCACCCCGCCTGCCCACATCTCCAGGCTCCAGGCTCCGCCCCTCTCTGCTCATGCCACCTGTCCTGCACGTGGATCGGACACCCCTCTGGGCCTCCCACCTGCCGCACCTGCCGCAAGACCTCCCAGCCCCCAGCCAGCACCTTTCTTTCTACTGGAGGGCTTGTGCTTCTGCGCCACAGGTTGACCCCAGAGGCCCCTGCAGGGGCTTCGATGGTGGCGCAGAAGCCTCCTTCACCTGCTACCACCACTGCTGTCCACGGGAGGGGCCGGTCCTGTTCGCCTTTGTACCCCTGGCTCCAAACGTGAGACCACAGCGGGGTGAAGGTCTTCAAACAGGCTTGCTGGGGGAGAGGACTGGAGGGCAGTCCGGGAGCCGGCCCCTCCCCCAGGCACCCAGCTCCGCCCAACAAATCCCACAGGGACACAGACCTCACGGCCCCCTCCCCGGCTCCTACATCTGGGCAGCCCCTCTCCCTGCTCCCACCAAACCCTCCCGGCACAAGGTAAGCTTCGCTTGCCACTAAAGCTTGACTTTCTCTCCTTCACTAGGTTGCTGTCTCCTTGTCCAGTGTGGACGGGCCCTTGGCGTGGGTCTTCCACAGAGCACAGGGCCTGGCAGCCCCCGGGGCACACGGCAGGGCCTGGCTGGCAGCAGGCCCGCTCTCACCGGGGCCCAGGGGCTTCATCCCCCTCCCCGGCTGCCTCCTCACCCCAGGAGCTGAGCCCACAGCCAGGGGAGCACAGAGGCCCCCGCAGAGCGGACACAGGGACTCACCATGTTCATGACGGTGAGGATGAACCTCCGGGCAGCCTCGGCCCCGTGGTACTGCACCATGTCGGCGTCGGCCACCACCAGGGTCTCCACCGTGCGCTCGCTGAGCTGGATGGCGTGCCTCCGCTCCCGCCAGTCCCGCGCCGGCCTGCTGCCGTTCAGCTGCTTCTCTGCAAGATGATGGAGACGTTGACGTTGTCGTCCTCGGCAGAGAAAAGACCTTCCTAGGCGACCCCCAAGAGAAGGGTCTGCCTACTGTCCAGTGTCCTCCAGCACCACACGGGAGTCCCAATCACTCGCCAGGGGTTGTGTCCACTAGGCAGGAGCGAAGGAGCTGGGGAGGCCTGGCCTGGGGGGGCCACCCACACAGCCACACCCACAGCCAGGCTGGCATCGCAGAAGAGAACCCTGCCTGTGCAGAGGAACGTGGCAGGGGTGGGGGGGGCACAGGTCTGAGCAGGAAAAGGAAGCCTGGACCAGAGGGGAGGGGCCTGGAGGCTCCAAGGTCAATGACACGCCTGACAGGCACTCCCACTTCTGATTACAGGGCCGAGGAAGAAGGGCCTTCAGGGACCAGACTGTACCCCAGGTCCGGGCTGGCACCCCAGCACCTGGACAGTCACAAATGTGCAGCCATAAACCCTGGAGGGCACAAAAGCATCATTTAAACATAATCAGAATAACCCAGGACACACATCTAGGCTAAGAAACAAGTGTGACAGCTCCTCCCACTGTGTGACCCTTTAGAAAAGCTATCTCCCTGGGAGATCTGACTTTGATCAACAGCTGTCGTGCTGATGGAGGAGCCCGCCCTGGCGGCCAAAGCGGCTGCCATCACTGTGCACATGCAGTCACCCTGGCCGTCGCAGCAGGTGGCAGGAGGAGCAGGCCCTCTGGAATCCACATGGGAGGAAGGCAGGTCTCTCATTTCACAGCTACGTCCACTGTTGGCATTAGCATGTATGAACACAGCCGCTACCACCAACATGTAGTAAACAGTCTACACAGGCACCAAGAGCTTCCTCAGTGAACCCGTCATTCCGGAACCAAAAACGGGTACTAGGAAGTAATCCAACACAGGGGTCGAAATTCAGAAATGAATGTTCCATGCAATATAATTTACACTCATGAAAAATGGGGCAACGGCAGAGACATGGAGCTATAGAAAACCCAGAGATGGACAAAAGGAAAGCAGTCATACACAACATCACCACCTACATGATTACTTAGTGATGCGGGGGAACTCCTCTGAAAATCAGCCGGATCTCAGCCTTGCCAAACTTTTACACAGAAGTACCTTCAGGCTCCAAAGATGTAGGTAGGTAGGTAGGTAGGTAGGTAGGCAGGCAGGCAGGCAGGCAGATAGATAGATAGATAGATAGATAGATAGATAGATAGATAGAAAGAAAGAAAGAAAGAAAGAAAGAAAGAAAGAAAGAAAGAAAGAAAGAAAGAAACACACACACACAACATATATATATACACACACACACACGGTGTTTAAAAAGTACATTGGAAAAGTATGCTATGATTTACATATGCATATCCAAATTTCTGCAACAAAATAAACTTGTACCAACCTGCTGTAACAAGTGTGAATAGGACCGAGTGTGAAGCAGTAAGGACAAGACCATCTGAAGAGCCCTGTGAGAGCAACACGAATTCCGCCAAAATCAAAGCGAGAACCAGCATGAGTGATGGTGAGGGCGGTGGACGGATGCTGAGCTCACGGCTGCTTTATGGAATGCTGATGGGGAAGCGCCCCAAAGAAGTCAGTGGTTTACAGGTGGAGAGCTGCATTTGAGGAGAAGGTGGGGGCCGGCGCCGTGGCTCACTAGGCTAATCCTCCACCTTGCGGCACTGGCACACCAGGTTCTAGTCCCGGTCGGGGCGCCAGATTCTGTCCCGGTTGCCCCTCTTCCGGTCTAGCTCTCTGCTGTGGCCCAGGAGTGTAGTGGAGGATGGCCCAAGTCCTTGGCCCCTGCGTCTCATGGGAGACCAGGATAAGCACCTGGCTCCTGCCATCGGATCAGCACGGTGCGCCGGCCGCGGCGGCCATTGGAGGGTGAACCAACGGTAAAGGAAGACCTTTCTCTCTGTCTCTCTCACTGTCCACTCTGCCTGTCAAAAAAAAAAAAAAAAAGGAGGAGGTGGGGGCCAGCGCTGTGGCTCACTTGGTTAATCTCCGCCAGCAGCACCAGCATCCCATATGGGCACCAGGTTCTAGTCCTGTTGTTCCTCTTTCAGTCCAGCTCTCTGCTGTGGTCTGGGAGGGTGGTGGAGGATGGCCGAAGTTCTTGGGCCCCTGCACCTACATGGGAGACCAGGAAGAAGCACCTGGCTCTTGGCTTTGGATCAGCACAGCGCCGGCCATTGCAGCCATTTGGGGGGTGAACCAATGGAAGGAAGACCTTTCTCTCTGTCTCTCTCTCTCACTAACTCTGTCAAAAAAAAAAAAAAAAAAAGGAGGAGGAGGCGGCGACGACGCTAAAGGTGAAATCCCTGGCAACAGATTGCGCACATCCACTTGCAAGGAAAAAATTAGCCCCACTCATGCCCTAATGAAGAGGGCAGACAGCTAATCGAAGGAACGACAGCCAATACCACAGACATCAGCTGGCAAAATCCTGACTGACAAATTAAAGAGCAGCAAAGTTTCTCACTGGGTGCTAAACCATGTGGTCGATTTGGAGGAGAGCAGAGCAGAGCTTCCCATGGGGGTTTCCAACAAGTGGGGGGACCGAGGTCCTGAAACATTTCTTCCGAGAATCTTAATGGGAGATGAAACCTGGCTTTACCAGTATGATCCTGAAGATGGAGCACAACCAAAGCAGTGGCTACCAAGAGGTGGGCGTGGCACAGCCAGAGCAAAGGCAGACCGGTCAAGAGCAAAGGTCTGATATTTTAGTATTCTACAATCTGTGAGCCAGTGAGAGCTCTTTTGCTCTAACAGAGAATTTATTTGATGTGAGGTATAAAGGGCGATATTTTGCCCCAATGTAATTTTAGATACCTCCTCTGTCAGCAAGGCAGCTGCTGCTATCATCCTTAGGCAGTGGAGGCCATCCTTGTGCAACCATGTCTAAGGTTTTAGAAAAGTAGCCCACAGGTCACTTAACAGGTCCCAGATCCTGAGTTAACCCTCCTAAGGTGACTCCCTGCCTCCCAGTGATGTGCAGCTGGGAGGGTCTCCCTGGGTTTGGCAGTCCTAGCACAGGGGCTTTAGTCATAGCATCCTTTAGCTGAGCAAAGGCTGTGGTTTTCTCTTTCCCCCAAAGGAAGGGGCTCTGCTTTGGCTGCCTGTTGAGAGCCTGGTTTAGGAACTGTGCTGTTTCCCTGTATCTAGGAACCTGACAGAGAAAACGAGGACTGCCTGAAGTTTGAAGAAGTAGGAATTTGCGCATGGCCCATATCCTCTCTGGGGCAGGTTTTCTCTCCCCAGGGGTGAGGATAAGGGTTAAATAATTAACACTCTAATGGACTAGCAATGCTTTGTTTTCCTCTGGATACCTAGTAGCTAGTTTTGCTAGGAAGCCAATGTACAAGACTAGAGTCTCAGGCTGGGAAAAGAGACAAACCAACAAATCATTTACATTTAACCATCTACATTATGGATTATTGTGCACCCCCCTCAAGAGATAGGCCCTTTAAGTCCTCAGTGAGGACCTGTCCAAATAGGTGCAGGACTATCTGAGTTGGCTGTTACTAAAAGCCCTGTTTTTAGGAACTGGCAGGGAGGGCTTTCTAAGCTTAATACTATTGGATAGACTTTTAATACTATTGGATAGACTTTTAAGCTGGGTGTGTGAGTCCCAGACCTATCCATGGGGTGCTGGAAGAGAACTGCAAGAGATGCGAATCTCCTTTAAGGGAGGCACCCTGTTGACTTGCATTACATGGCTGGACTAGGAGGAGAGCTGAATAGGAGGCTGATAGAAATAGGCAACTTGTGTTTCACTGACCCTAAGCCATCCCCAATAGCAGTGGCTGGAGCTGGAAGCTGGGCAGATTGTAGAATACTAAATATCAGGTCCTCCTTCTAGAAAACCCTCAGGTAAAAATAAGACATTGCTCTACTCTAAACCCGGCTACTTTAATGCCAGTTCCAGGGGAAAGTGGTCCCCTCCACTCCTGTACTGAGACTGTAGACTTGATCTATGCCAGCAGAAGGGACCCAAGAGACAGCCCCCTGACTAACGCAGATGAGGTTTGGTTCACAGACAGAAGCAGCTTTGTCAGACGGGACCTGCTTCTCAGGGTAGCAACAGTTACAGCCTGGCACGTTACTGAAGCGTGCTCTGCCCCCAGGAACTTTTGCTCAGTTAGCAGAACTGATTGCCTTAACCAGAGCTCTAGATCACACAAGGGATTTGTAAGGCACCTTCACTCTGCATGGAGACCTCAGTCTTCTGGTAAGGTAGAAAGAGCCAACCAGGCTCTATGGAAAACATCACAAGTATAGAAATGTGTGCTTGGTAAGAAAGGTCAAGAAGTAAAGAGTGTTCTTGGTAAGGAAGGTTAAGAAGGAACGAGGTTTTAAAATAAGGAAAGGACATGGTTTGTAAGAACGACTATCCTGATGGCTAGTTTACTCTAGACCGGAATGGAAATGATGGAATGTTTAAAGTAAGTTGAAGAGGGTGTGTGGAAGTCACAAAAGGTTATGAAAGAAAATAATACTGGACATGCTAACTGCTGCTCCAGGGGGTATCTGTGCCATGTTCCAGGAAGAATGTTGTCTCTGGGTCAATCAGACTAGACAGGTACAAATCCAAATTCGTACTTTTCCTGGACAAAGCCAAACAGCTCCAGGACCAGGCCAAGCAGGGCTGGGATTTCTGGCCTGACATCTGGTCATGGAAATCCTGGCTATTTCCTCTCCTTGGCCCACTAACTTCTGCAATCTTGATGCTTCTCTTTGGACCGTGTGTTTTTAATGCCCTTGTTCATTTTGTCTCTAACAGACTAAAAGCTGCCGAACTCCAAATTGTCGTCAGACAAGGCTTCCAGCCCATTCCATTGGACGACCTGAGCAGCCCTCTGGACCGAGCAGCACAGTCTTTCCAAGGCCACTGTTGCACACCACAAGACAGGTAGCAAGAGGAAATACCCAAATCCCCCTCGACGCCCATATGCCAGCTTTGAAGAAGTTACAGAAAACGGAACTCCA